CGCCCGCGCCCCGTGACGTGGGCGTGGGTCTGTGCACTCTGGCCACTGCTGCCCGGCTGATGCGTGCCCTGGCTGCGACCCGTGGTCTCAAGCCCTGGGGAGGGTCCACCCCGGGGGAGTCTGCTCACTCCTTGGCATGCACCTGTCCGCTGGATGTCAAGCTGGTGCCGGGGTTCCAAGTTGCCTCTTGTGGGCGCTCACAGCCCCCATTTGTACCCCCCGTAGTGGCTCTCCTGCTCCATGGGGTGGGCCCGGCGGCTGCTCCTCCAACAGTGGGGCTGCCTCGGTTCCCTCTGTTTGGAGGGGGTGGGAGGAGGGAGGTCGTAAGAGGCTCAGAGAGGGAGAGGAGAAGGAGCTGCCCCCTCCCTCCTCTTCCCATGCTGCCTTTATCTCACCTGAAGAAGAGCAAACACGCCTTCCGTGGTTCTTTCTCTCTCATCTGTCCCTCTGTCTTTCTCAGGCTCCAGCCTGAACGTCCTCCTTGAAGCTGCCCTGTCCCGCCCACCCTCACCCCTGCCGGCTCCACTCTGGGTCCAGTTCTCCCCGCCCCTCCCGTGGCCCTGACCCCTGTCCTCTGTCCCCACCCTGCCCTCTCCGCTCGGGGCTCTGCTCTGTCCCCTCCCCTCCCGTGGCCCTGACCCCTGTCCTCTGTCCCCACCCTGCCCTCTCCGCTCGGGGCTCTGCTCTGTCCCCTCCCCTCCCGTTGCCCTGACCACCGTCCTCTGTTCCCACAGCGTGCGACGGCGCTGCCTCATCCAGCAGAAGAGGCGCCGCCAGCGTGCGGCCCGGAAGATCGGCATCTTCATCGGCTCCTTCGTCGTCTGCTTTGCTCCGTACGTCATGACCAGGTGGGTTCTGGCGCTCAGGCCTCTGTTGTGGGGACCGTGGAAGGCTGGGCTTGGCCTCGGAGATCTCCCAGCTGGGGGAGCTGGAGGGCGGCCACCGCCACAGGGCCTGTCCTCCACCTCCGATGTGCTGGGGCCTTGCCTTGGCTCCTGCAAGGACCCTGGGATGGAGGTCGCATCCTGTCCTATACACGAGGAAACTCCCCCTGTTGGGCACAGGCAGGCAGGTGTGGGATCTGTCTGAGCCAGGGCCTGGCTTTGCAAGCCTAGGAAGCTGATGGCAGGTGACCTGGGACCCACCCAGGCCTGAGAGTCTGCGTCTCCCGGGCAGGGATTCCAGAATTCTGGGTGGACGATGGGCTGGGGTCTCAGGACAGTGACAAAGCTAGGTGAGCGTTCTCTTTGTTCCTCTCTTCTTCTTGGAGATCTGGGCCTGAGCACCTGGCGGGTCAGCATGCCATGGAGTCATGGGGGACCGGGGAATGGTCTGGTTCTGGGCCTATAGTGCAGTGGTGAAGGTGGTGCTTCTGCCCACAGGGTGTGGGTCTAGACCCCTGGGGTGGCTGGCTCCTGGGTGGTCTTTGCTCCTGCGTGTTGGACTGCAGTTGAAGGACATCCTAACAGAAATGACTCCAGGGGGAAGTTGACAGCCCTCAGCATCAAGGGGGCCTGGCCTCCCCCATAAGGGGAGGAACCCAGCGCGGGCATGGCACCCGGCTCCTGCGTTTGTTTCTGTGAGGTCCACCTGGTACCCTGTGGGGTCCACAGGCCTGATCAAGATGTCTGTCTTCCCAGGTTGAGTCTCTTATAGGAATTATGGGGGGAAATATCTGTTTCCCGGGAGCTGAAAGACACCTCAGAGCTGCCGTGCTGAGTGGCGTGGGCTCTGTCCCTCCTGCCCTATGCTGAGTGACGTGAGCTGTCTCCTCTCTTCCTGTGCTGCGTGGCATGGACTTTCTCCCTGTCCCATACTGAGTGTCGTGGGTTCCCTCCTCCTTTCCTACGCCCAAGCATCAAGGGTTTGCTCCTTCCTGCCAAACTCCCCTGAGAGCGCTTTGGAATCAGTGCTAGGACACAAGTCTTGGCTTAGGGACATGGAATTGGGTTTCTGCGGGTCACGATCACCCTCCTTCCTCACATGAAACCCAGCGAGGCCTCTAGTTCTCAGGACACTGCATGGTGGAGGAACTGCCCCATCTTCCTGGGAACCAGCTACTTATCTGACGACCGTGTTTGTGCATGTGTATGCCTGTGCGTGTGTGCACATGTACACTCTGTGTGCCTGTGTGTACACATGCGTGCATGTGTCTGTAGACGCCCATGTGGATGCACGTGCGTGTGTGCCTGTGTGTGGGGTAACTGTGGAGCTTCAGCTTCGAGCCCTCGGTTCTGAAATGGTACGTGGCCCAGGAGTAGTCAGGCTCACTCAGCCAAGACATTAAACTCATCCATACATCTCACTTTCATCTTCACACATGGTGCCAGGGCCTGAGTGTGTGTGAGCGTGCATGACCCTGAGCATGCATGACCTGAGCGTGCATGGCTTGAGTGTGTGTGCAGAAGGAAGAACCCTGAACAAGCCATGCGGCCTGCATCTGAGGTGTGATTTCCGTGGTCCTGACTCTGACTGGACAATGCACGCTCTCAGGGACTCAAACCCTTTATGAAAATCTCAGCTATGACACCAATTCTCACTACTGGCTTTAAAAAAAATAAAACAACTTTACCCCATGCCAGATCAGCCCTGTGTTATTGTCAGGAGTGCTCGTGAGGTTCTGTGCTCTTTTTATTTACTGTTCCAGCCCTGCTGTGCTGGGCTTGGTACCCCATCCTGGAGTTCCAGTCTCATGAAATACGGGCGACACCTTACTGGGCTCTTGGCCCTGATGCAGGAGTGGCAGGTGACCAAGGCGGTGGGTGCTGTCAGTGAGGGAGGCTGAAGGGATGGGGACCAGGAGGAGCCAGAACGATCTGCCTAGCCACTGCCTCTCCCACCGTGTGCGGGGCTCCAGTCAGAGCCTCCCACCCCAGCACGCACACAGTTCCGACACAGTGGCTGCAGCCTAACCCACAGGAAGTCAGAGATCCAGGAGTGTGCTCCCTGCCACCCCTTAGAAGGTCGTGCACCTTTCCAATTATCCTGCATTTGCTAAAAATATTCCGGAGGTCTTCTCCTGGGACTTGTTTTCAGAACTGGGATGCATTGTAAGATTCTTCTGAGGACACGTTGGCGGTGGATTTAGTCTGGTTAGAAATAGCTCAGAGTCACCTTGAACCCATGTGTGATAAAGTCGGTAAAGAAGCTGGGCCTGTGATTTTCCTTTCTGTTTCTTGGCTATCACCCTTGGGTTTTATTTATGTGATTAACAGTGTGGATATTGTGGATCACGTCCCGGGGTGTGTAGCCCCCAGGCAGGCGAGCTGAAACATAGAGCTCCCCTGTGGATCTGAGGTCTGTGGGAGGGGCAGATGGACACTGAGCGGTCAGTGAATGTGCATAGAGCCCCCTTCTCTGCACAGTCACGACCGCTCAGAGCCCTGGGGGTTAACGATTGACTTCTGGGCCCAGCTGGTCCCAACTCAGTCTCGGTGTTTCTGACAGTGGCCAGAGGACACTGATCACACGTGCACCTTGACTAAGCCAAGGAAGAAGCACTCGGGCACACCCATGACTTTTGTACCGGGCTTAAGCCCCCCAGGGGCTGAAAGCTATCCCCCTGAAAACTCTCAGATCCTTTGGTCCGACTCTCCTTCTGTCTCGCTCTTGGTTGTCTGCGACCAGTCTCCAGCCCATACTTGATGGTGGGCTCCCTGGAGGCGGGAGCGATAGGGTGTGAGTGTGAATTTGCGGGTCCTTGGGCCGTGGCAATGCTCTTTCCTGACTATTGCTCACTGGATCCTCACCATGGCCCTGGGGTGGGCAGTGCTAGAGCCGGGGCTGCCTAGGGTTGCTGTCCCCTGACCCGATCCTTGGCTCGTGGATGCCCCTCCCATAGTCCCCGCCCCTCGGCATCCCTGTCCTCACTCTCACCGCCGCGTGCGAGGGCTGTCTGCGTGTGTCCATGTCTCCCCTGGCCTGGCTGCCCTGGAGGGGGGGGGTCAGTCTGATCTGCTGCTGCACCCAGTACCTGCCGTGCATGGGTGCTGGGCGAGTGGACTCCAAACAAGTAAGCGACCCAGCCAAGCTTTGTAAGCCATGGGGCTGCGATCCTCCCAGGGGGAGGACATCCCAAGACAGAAATCCACTGCCTGTGGGGTCACTGGGCTGGCAGGGAAAGCCCTGACTTTGGGGAGCCCTGATTCAAAGTCATAGTCTCTGACTTCTTGGCCAACCCGGAAGTGGGAAGCGGAGCGGCCATCACTGGTCAGAACACGAACGTGGGCCGCTCTTAGAGGTCTTGCCCTGACGGCATGGCCCCCGTCCCACTGTCTTAGGGGCATGGAACTGGGCTTCCTGTGGGTCACCATCACCCACAGGAGATCGTGAGAATGTGGACCCAGAGCAGAGGGCCCACCAGAGGTGCGGGAGGCCTGCCTGCCCCTGCAGGCTTCTGCCACTCTGGCCCAGGCCCTTTGCCTCTGAAGTCCGAGCTGCTTTCAGGGAAGCTCTGGGTTCAGACCCAGGGTGCCTCGTGGAGCCCAGCTCTGGCAGGTATGTGCTGGCTGGTCTCAGAGGCATCCCTGAAGCCCTCAAAGCTGGGTGCCTTGGTCTATAAGACAGAAGTAGCCATTGTTCTCTCATAGCTGGTTCCATTAGCCATTGTTCCACGGCAGGTGCCTCATGCAGGTGGGGAAAGGCCTGGGGGATGGTGATGATCAAGCCGCCATTTCCGGAGCGCTGCCTGTGTGCCTGGGGATATCTTGCTTGTGCTGCATTCCCAGGAGGTGAGCACTGCCATCCCATCTTTCTGTTTTGCAGAAGGGGAGACAGAGGCTCAGAGAGCTTGAGCGGAGTCACCGGGCTGGCGAGCATCAGGGGTGCGGGGTGTGCTCAAGCCTGGTTCTAGAACCTTCCAGCCCTCCAGGGCGTGAATATGCGTGGGTGTTGGCCCCGCCACTGAGTCACTTGGTCTGCTTCCCTGCAGGCTGGCAGAGCTCATGCCGTTTGTCACCGTGAACACGCACTGGGGCGTCCTGAGCAAGTGCCTGGCCTACAGCAAGGCGGTGGCCGCCCCTTTTGTGTCCTCCCTGCTGCGCCAGCCATTCCGCCAGGCCCTGGCCCACCTGGCCCGCCGGCTCCCGAGGAGGCACCCGCGCCTGGCGTCCCACCACTCCAGCTCGATGGACGCGGAGAATGACTTCCGCCTGCAGCAGACTCTCTGAGGAACCGGCAGGACCTTGTCAGCCCCACCCTCCCAGGAGCCCAGAAGTGGAGACCTCCAACTGTGGCAGCTCGGCTTCGGGCGGAGGCTGAGGTGCAGGACAGGGCAGGAGGAGGGCGATGGTGGCAGTGTGGGGTGGCAGCTGCAGTAGACGGAGAGCCTAGCTTCTAGCTCCTAACTCGGCCCCCTGGCTGCTGGGTGGCCCCGGGACAGTGGCTTTCCCTCTCTGATCTCAGCTTTCTCACCTGATGCTTCCAGACAGTGGGTAGGCAAGCACCCTGCGCAGTGCCTGATGCCCTCTGGGTGTGTGTGAGTGACGGCTGTCCCTCGGAGTGAGGGGGCTCAGGGTCTGCCCGGCAGCCTGGGTGACCACCTGTCACGCCGAGCTATCAACACCCCCATTCTGCTCTCGGCCCTGTCCGGGTTTGGAGGCCAAATTCCGTGGAGAGTTCAGTTGGAGGTTCAGAGTTCAAGTCCAGCAGTCTGTGGCCTGGGTGGGCTGTACAGGTGTCCCCTGGGAAGTGTCCATCTCTGATGCCTGGCGGCTCAGCCCCTGGCTCCTCCCCATCTGTCCACCATGACCGGTGTGGGCAGGCACACACTCAGAGCCCGCCTCCTGTCTCCTGCCGGTGGTGTCGGAGGGAGCAGAATCCTTTCCGTGAGCTCAGGGACCTTTCTGGGGAAGACGTCGGAGCAGAGCGGCCCTGCTTCCTTTGCCCAAGGGCCCCGCTGGGCCTCTGGATCCTGGTCATGAGACAGGCAAGAGATTGGCGCAGTGGACAGAGCCCAGATCCAGGGGAAGTAAGACCCAGGAGGGTGAGGGCCTCACTCCCCAGCGGTGTCCCTCTGTATCGCCCTGGGAAGCAGAGAGAAGGTGGAGAGGAGACGAGATCGTCGTGGTCCGTCTGACAACCATGGGTGCCATTCCTGGGTGGAGGCACCCCCGTCAATGTTGTTAAACGTTCCCACGGGACAGTGTGGAAGAATTTCCTGCATAGCTCAAGAGAAGAATGGTGTCCAGCATACACAGTCCCTCCCTGGAGAGAGAGATGTGTGGTACGAATGAGTGAGTGAATGTGCAAATGAATGAATGAATGGACACAACCCTCGCTCTCGCCCCTGTCACCCCTATTTTCTTTGTTCTCCAGACCCCTGTGGAAGGAGGGTGGGCTACTTGGTTCAGGCGTCCATGTGAGAACAGATTTTCGACAGGGCCGCACCCATGGGACCCTGCAGGCTTGAAAGCCTGCCCCATGACGCCCCACACCCGAGGTCAGTGGCCCAGGGAGAGTGTAGACCCCAGGTTCTTTCCTTCCAGGGGCTGGATTCTTCAAAGATGCCACACACACAGCCGTCCGCTGCTTTGGGCTCTCCATACATTAATCACAGTTACAGCCCAGTGGGGCCGGCCTGACAAATTCTTTCCAAATAACCGAGTCTTGCGTGTCTGATTTGCCAACATCTCCCCACAAAAGGGTTGTTTAAAAGCACTTCTAAATCATAAGTGCAATTCAAATAAAACACATCATTCTTAAGAATAATAATAACTACAGGTATGTGGTCATGAAGTGTTAAAAATGTCAAAACACATAAACATACAAGCCTGGCTAGTTCGGTCCAACCCAGCATTCCAGCCCTGAGCTGGGGTGCAGGTGTGTGCTGCGGTCGGTGGACGTCATGCCCTGATTCACGGAGAGGAGTCCCCAGTGTCCTCTGCACTTGGAAAAGTGTTGCCCACAGGGGAAGCAACTTGGTGTCCACATTTAACACTCCAGAGTCCAGGATATGAACTGGGAGGCTGAAGCCACTCCTTGACCCGGGATCGCTGGTGGGCCCGGACTCTGTTGCCGCACCTTGACAGGTCAAAGTCGTGGTCACGACCTTAAATCTGCTTAAGAAAGTGGGTGTACCTCGCCCTGCTGGACCCAAGCGCCACAGTTAGAGAGAGGCACGTTGTGTATTCCAGATGGGACCACTTCTTCTCATGTTCTGCCTTCTCTGGAAGCTCCATGGAATGTTCTGGAAGACCCCAAGCTACGGGCACCTCAGTCACTGTGCTGTCTGTGCAGTGCTTTGAAGCAGCCCCTCTGCACTTCTGCCAGACCACATGGCCACTCGCGGGGCTGTCCCTCGCCTTGGGCTTGCGGTCTTCTTAATTTGAAAAATACTTTCATGTGCGCTTAAACATATTGCAAAACCATGCTGTGTCCCAAGATCTTTGTGAGCCAATAAACAGCTTATTCACAGGGTCTCGCATTTCCATGAGAGGGAGAGAAGACGCTGCCTTTGCACTAGCCAACGTTTTAATTACCAGGAAGGCAGAGCTTTCTAGACGTCTGGGCTTGCGTGCGGTCCCCTGCCAGCCGTCCAAGACCTCCAGGTCAGACCCTGGTCACGTGTGTGGGTTGGGGGGGGCTCCATCCCCAGAGGTTGTTTTGACACGGTGGCTGGTGGTGGCATCAGAAGCCTCCCGTGGGCTGGGAGGCTCGCCAGGGCTTGCAGGATGCATGGAACTGCTCATTTATTTTACTTGGGGCGGGGGCAGGAGTTTTTATTGGTGCCATCTGTCAGAGGGCTGCAGCATCCCGGGAGGGGCGGGGAGGGCCTTTTGGAGCTGGGAGCTACGGTGTCCTCACTCGGCTTGTCTTCTTGGCCTTTTGAGACCATGAGCTGGTTTCTGAGTCTCCAGCCTGTCCTGACAGGACACAGTCCCAGGACAGAAGAGGCTACGGACCGGGATGCCCTCTCTCCATCTCTTCTGATCCTGGTTCTCCCACTGCCTCCCCTGGGCGTCCATGGATGACCACAGCCTCTGAGACCTTCCTGGTCCCAGGAGAGCAGCCCTTCCCTGCCTGCGCCCACCCTCCGCCAGGCAGAGCAGACTCCTGGACACGCCGCAAAGAGCAGGCTGTGCGCCTGCTGGAAGCCCCAAGAGGTCCCAGGCTGTCCTGACTCCTGAGCCTGGCTTTCCAGACCCTCTCACACTCCCCCCTGCTACCCACCCAGCTCCGGGCTAAAGCACCAGGTGCCCCTCTCCAGGGGGCTGCAGGACTCTCATGCTTTCTCCTCTTTTGCTCAGCCAGTCCTTCCATCCAGCTTAGGCAGACGCGACCCTCCCCCTCGGGCTCCCACAGGCTGTGGTCACCCCCTGCCTCCCCATCCGCCCACGCTCTGGGTGGGAGCAGGGTCCGGGGCCTTCTTACCCCGGCACCCACCATGCCGTATGTGCTTGCGACTCATGTCCGCACACGGCACCTCCAGCTGGGGGGGGTGGACTCCCAACCACCCACGTACTCTTCCTGCTGCCACGTGGCTCCCACCCACATCACGAGCCCTGAGATGGGCCCAATGCCATTTCCGGTGGAGAACTCCCAGGCTTGCCGAGGCCAGGCCACCGGCCCAGGGATCTTTGGCGTATGGCAGTCTGTGTGGCTTCCGTGACACAGTGTGCTTCCCCTCCTAGAAGCTTGCTCTGCAAGAAGCCCCCGTGGCCATCCCCCGGTCCCAGGCATGAGTTCCTGTGGACTGGGCTCTGCCCTGTCTCTGGGTCACCTGGCCCCAGCCTGGCGGCGCCGGCCTGGCTGCCTCCCGCCCCACGGTTACTGCCCGCTGGACCGTGTCCAGGGATTTGGTGGGACAGGGAGGACCCGCACCCCCTTTGGCCCCGGGAAGGCTTAACCCTGTCTTGTGACTTTCCGCTGACGTGCGTTTGGTGGGTCAGGCTCTCCTGGCTGAGGAGGAAATAAGAGACTGTTCTTTCTGACTTATTGTGGAGGAGACAGCGGGTCCCTGGGGGCCGCCAAGTCTTCTCACTGAAAAGGTGACCCTAGCTAACGCTGATGCTACTTCATCAAGTCCGAAGCGCCACTGACTGAAGCCGTATCATTATTTTCTGTGCCACTGAGTCAGAGAAATGAACCCAGTTGAGGGCTGACTTGGAAGACGCCTGCGGACGGCTCAGGGTTGCACCTTGTGTGTCCACGAGACCCAAGCCTGCCTGAGGATGGGGACGGCAAGGAGACGCATGTCCCCACCCCAACTCGCAGGGAAAGAAGGGAGCACGGCTGTCCCAGGGTCATGCCCCACACCAGCTGGCGCTCAGGAAACTGCGAGGCTGAATTTCTCCTGGCGTGGGCCAGAAACCTCAGGCAAGGAGGTCAAAGGGAAGGGGTCTGGGCTGACTGGAGCGATTGGAGGTGCTTCTGGAAGGATCTGCTGTGTCCAGACAGAGAAAACAGTGGGGTGACCGCGGGATGCAGCACCTGCTCTGAGTCGGGGATGGGCTTACACCACAGTGGGTGCTGCCACTGTTATCCCAGTTGCTGGGCTGAGTAGCTCGAGCGTGCAAAGTCTCAGGGTTAAGTGGTGCCTGGCATGGCGGGGGGGGCGCACTGACCTCGCCCTCCCAGCCACCCCGGTGGGAGGTGGAGTCCATAAGGCACATGGACCCTGGAGGCCATCTGGGCCATCACCCGGCATGGAGCACAGCAGGGCTGTGAGCACTGTGTCCACCGGCACTGTCCCCAGGCGCAGGGCGCAGGTGCACAGACGGGCACAGGGGCTGGACCGTGGCCAGGGGGCTGTGAGAAGTGGCCAGCAGATGCCCGTCCAGCTCCAGGGGCCATCTATTCCTCACCTGGAGAGGCTCTGGCCTCTGCTCCCAGGTCCCTCAGGCCCTCCTCCCAGATGGCTCCAGGTGACGCGGGGGGGGGCAGGATGTGGGAGGGGTCTTCCCACCCACCCCTGTGGCTGCAGAGGGCAGCCTGAGCCCCTCCCTCACCAGCGGGCTCAACTTTCCACCCCGTGATCTTGCCTTGGATTCCGGTCTAGGGAAGGGGGAGGGAGGGGTCTTTAAGCCACCACTTGGGACCACGTGTCTGCGACTCTAATGAGCTGATCCAGTCCTCAGAGGACCCCTGCATGCCAGGCTCCCTGCTGGGCTCTGCTGGAGACCAGGGTGCAGGGAAGACAGAGACCCAGAAAGGCAGGGAGGCCCCCAAG